GGCAATTTGTGTGTCAAATGTCTGTTTCATTTGTAAACAGTAATCTGAAATGTATTTTATAAAAGGATAAATAATTAAAGAAGTGCCACTTCTTTTGGAGTAACAGAAAGGAGTTGAATCTCTGTTAGGCTGAGAAATATGACTGCTCAATTCTAGATTGTCTAAAAGCCTGTTTTCCCCTTGCATTTATAACTCCAAAGAAGCCGGAGATAAAGTGTGTGAAGCCATACATCTAAATGAAAATGATGAAGCAATAGTACTGCTGCAACTGAGTGAACTCTGGGATGGTTTGGTTGGAGGAAGATGACTGTGATAAATGTGCTCAGCAATATATTAAATGCTAATGTTACTCCATATTTTCCATGCAGTGCAATTCCAAAATCCTGTGATACTGCTTTCAACTGTGTGTGTGTGTGCTAACTGTTGCGCATGCTATTATGTTGTCATAAAGCAGAACAAACTTGTTAGAACTGAGCATAAAAAAGGGAATAACAGGATCACTAGTCTGGTGTTTATAATCAGGTCACATTCATGGTAAAGGCATGTCATCCTGATCAGATTTCAGGAAAACAGATACAACTTTTTTCCTTTATTTGTTCGGTGCCATGGTGTGGATGATGGTGTCTATGGCCCCTTCTACACTGGCCCAATATCGCAGGATCTGATCCAAGATTATCTTCTTATCTCAGATTATCTGGAAGTGTAGACTCATATAATCCATTTCAAAGCTGATAACCTGGGATCAGATCCTGGAATATAGAACAGTGTAGAAGGAGCCTAAATCAGTGAAGTAATGACTCCACTCTGGGTTTTGGTGTGAATTTTAAAGAAGTCGTCCTAGCTGTGTCCAGAGGAGGGCGACTAAAATGATCAAGGGTCTGGAGAACAAGCCCTATAAGGAGTGGCTTAAGGAGCTGGGCATGTTTAGCCTGCAGAAGAGAAGGCTGAGAGGAGATATGATAGCCATGTATAAATATGTGAGAGGAAGCCACAGGGAGGAGGGAGCAAGCTTGTTTTCTGCTTCCCTGGAGGCTAAGACGAGAAACAATGGCTTCAAACTACAAGAAAGGAGATTCCATCTGAACATGAGGAAGAACTTCCTGACTGTGAGAGCCGTTCAGCAGTGGAACTCTCTGCCCCAGAGTGTGGTGGAGGCTCCTTCTTTGGAAGCTTTTAAACAGAGGCTGGATGGCCATCTGTCAGGGGTGATTTGAATGCAATATTCCTGCTTCTTGGCAGGGGGTTGGACTGGATGGCACACGAGGTCTCTTCCAACTCTTTGATTCTATGATTCTATATAGGAATCCTATCCATAGTGGGTTCAGCACCTTTGATAACTCTGCTAAATTTTAAACCTGGAGTGGATTCACTGGCCTACTGACATGGAAGTCCAGCCACTGCTGACTGGCTTCACTCTTACATGCATTACATAGGTAGCTGCTCCTTGAAGGAGGAATGAGGAGAGGGATTCAACTCCTTTAAAAAAAAAAAAAGGAAAGATTGTAATGGTTTCTAATTTGCTGTTAGTTAAGGTCGTTCTACATTTTTTTTCTTCTGAAAAGGTACAAAAAGGAAATAGACAATAGATATTAGAATAGATGCTAAACATTAGGAAGAAAATATTAAGAGTAGCAGCTGTTTGACCGTGGGATATGCTGCCTGGGAGTGTGATGGAGTTCTTTGAACATTTTTACACAGAGCCTGGATACCCTTCCTGGAGTGATTTGCATGGCAGGAGGTTGGACTGATAACTTTATGCTGGTATAACTATTCAGAAACAAGACACCATGTTTCAAAATGGGAACTGCTCTGTTTCAGTCCTATAGAATCCTCATTGAATAGTCCCTTCTAGATTATGCCCCTTGAATCATTTGTTGAAATGAGGCAACATGATATATACTAATTTGAATGTGGGACTAGGTTCTCATGACGCCAAGGTTCAAATCCCTGTTCTGTGATGGAGGGCCATGTGTTGGTCCTGGAGAATAATAAATAATAATAATAAAACTTTATTTCTAGACTGCCCTCTCTCCCAAAAGGGACTCAGGGCAGTTTAAACACAGAGGCAATGCCTTACAAAGTACAAACAACATCAGGAATAATACAAAATAATGCACGATAATAACAATAAGCTTTTAATGGAAAAAAATGAAATGGGGACTAGGTAGCAATAAACCAAGTTAGACAATAAACAAAGTTAAACGTGAGCACAGGGGTGGCTCAACCCATTACGCAAAGTAAGTATTTGCAGTATAGTTGGTTTTGCCCAGGGGCGCTCTTGAGGTGCTCTTGGGGAAAAATAGACCTTGACATATGCAAGTTGTAGTTACTGAGATGTATAGTTCACCTACAATCAAAGAGCATTCTGAACTCCACCAGTGATGGAATTGAACCAAATATGGCACACAGAACTCCCACGACGAACAGAAAAAATATATCCGTGATTTGGGGGGGGGGGGGCCAAAATACTGTTTGCTTACCGTTGAAAATTACCTAGGGCCGCCTCTGCGTGAGCATTAAAACATATATCATTGAAAGCAATTAGACATGAATTGCATTTGAAATGGCTAACACAGGTGTTTGTTAAAAATGTATCATAGCCATCATATAATGCAAATGGGTTCACCAGCATTACAGTACCTTTGTCCTCCTCCTCTCCATATGCTAAAGTGCATAAGTGCGTTTTCAAAAGTTTCTTAAAGGTTAGGAGGGTGGGGCCATTTTTATTGCTTTAGAGAGGGAGTCCCCAAGATGGGGAGTGATAATGGAGAAGACCCCCCTCTCATTCCCACCAGCCAAGCTTGAAATGGGGGTGGGACCAAGAGCAGGGCCTCCTCATACTGCAGTGCACGAAATGGCCTTATATGGTGATGTAATTGGCCAAATAACCTAGACCCAAACAGTTTCAGTCTCAGTCTCAAAGAAATGCATTAGCAAATGTCCTCTGAAGAAATGACGTCAAGAAAATCATTGGATAGTGTTGGCATTTGTCAAAGTTGACATGAAGGCACAGGACAATAACAACAAAATTATTCCACTGAATCAATTGCTTATACTGATAGGGACTAACAATATGATTTTGTTAATAAAATCAATGACTTAGATACCACTATGAGGAAAGAAGTCCGCAAAAAGAAAATATGCTTGCCTCCTCTTTGTGCCACACTCCTGAGAAAGTGGGGCGCAGTATGGAATAGGGTGCAGGGAGCCTTCTGCATGATGGAGAAATTGCTCCTAAGCAGGGAGATTTCTACAATATCTCAAATACACCAGCATCCTCTTTTCACTGCCTTCTTTAAACTCTAAGCTGGTGTTCCATTAGCAATTATTCTATTTTTTTCTTTATTAGAAAAAGCTTTCAAATATAATAATACAAATGCTTTTGTTTCAATTGAATTTGAATATCCTGTTTAACCTCCGCATATGAGCTCAGAATCAAACTGAATTTCGTTTCAAAAGAAATCAGAAACTCACACTAGATAACTACGACAAAGCATTGTTTTATTTTGAATAGAACAAAGTCACAATGAGTGGGGATTTGGGAGAGGTAGGGAAGAGTTGAGAGACCATTGATTTTTCCAGAAAGGAAGCTGAATTTTAAGTATTTTAAAGGGAAGTAAACCATTACCTTTTAAACGTGGGGTTCTAATTTAAATTCTATTTGCTCAAAATGTTCTAGTATATTTTTACCTTTAAGAGGAAGAGGAGAAAAAGAAGCCACCTTCATTGACCATTTAGATAAAGAGTCAATTACCTTTAAAACACCCTTACCCTAAAATTCTCTTGGGAAATAAATTTTCTGGGGAAAAAAATCAGCGTGTTTGCTCTTGTTGAAGGAACTTGGTTTTAGTAACTCCAGCAATCTTATTTTGTTGATTATATAATGAAAATAAATCTTCACCTATGTTTTATATGTAGCTCCCTTTTTTGCAAAGTTTTTCCCCACTACTAATCGGAAAACCAAAATATAACCCAATAATTTCTATTGTGGATGTCATTTTACTGTTGGCAAAACCTAAATTGTAAAAAGGTCTATAAAATATTTCTGTCATACAATTTATCATTTAAAGTTCATAGATTATGTTTAATGGTTGAATCAAGAATATTTGTCTGCCATTTGTGCTCTGCTCTTTCATCTTGTTTGTGAGTAAAGCAAATTAGTTCCCATAGAATAACAAACCCTTTGCACAATTTCTGGAGTTTACTACTTTCCCCAAACACCATGTGGTTTTTAAAATTATTTTTGGAAAGACCCCAATTAAGTATATTTAGGAAGCTGTTGGAAAAATGATCCTGCTGTCAGAACCTAATCCCTCATTCAGATGTGATGTTTCATTGTCTTAAACAGTCATCTAAATCTCACTGACAGCTTGGGGAACCTTCTTAGAGAGCTGGAGGTCATTTTCTCCATCTCTAATCCTTCCTGCTTTTGTCCCTTCCTTTCTTCCTTCTAGATTTTTCATTAGGTCTTCTTGAAATGCAATCTGAATCCAACTCCAGATTGGAATTATTCTTTTACATTATCAGACCAAGGAGAAGTCAAGCAAAATAAGACTTTATTTATATTCCACCATATCACCTGGTGAGGACGCAGATTCTAACAAACAAAAAAGGCAAACATTCAGTGCCCTCAATACAACAAAATACAAACATAATAGCACAAAATAACCCAACATATACTACAATATTATAACATGACACTAAAAGCTAAATAACCTATCAAACAAATTGTATCTAACATAAATCATGAACATCAAACATCAGCATCAATTTACCGGAGCTGACAAAGGTTCACTAAAATATGTGAGTTGATTATGTGGCCAGTGATGTTAACTGGGCTAACAGGGTCTACAAAGCCGAAATACAATAACAGTTTTCAGTCAGTGATATAGTAGCGGTATATCATCATCTAAGAAAATCAACTTAGTAGCAGTGCTTATTTCTTTCTCAAAAATGAAGTTTAATAACACACTTCTGTCTCTTACTTTGGTTTCTGATAGGCCCTGTCTGAAAATCTCTGTGGCAAGAGGCGGAAGCCGCCTTTGGCCGAGATGTCACGGCACCACAGCCGGTTTGAAAGAGAGTATCGCATGGGATGGGACCGCCGGGAATGGAACACCAATGGGAACCACGTGAACAACAGTAACTGCAATAGCACAGTGAACAGCAATAGCAACAACAGACCCGGGCTTCTGCCTGTGCCAATTGTGCCCTCACGACTACATGCCCCAGCCACTGTTGCTTGCACCACAGTGAACAGTGATGTGATAACTACTCTTGTGGCCAACACTCCTGCGTCCTCGACAACCAAAGTAAGTAACAGCTTCTTTCTGCTTTGTGTTGATGGCTATTTAAGGATAACTTAACTTTGAATTAATAAGTAAACTATTAGCTTTCAGATCATGTTGTTATTTTCCCCACTTCTCCAGCCATTGATGCTCTTCTTACACTAAACTATACCATAAATGCCATCTATGTTTCCTTACTATATTATGTACATCCATGACAACTTTAAAATCAAGTTATTAACTCTACTTGTGCATTTAGACCCTTCTATGACATCACTGGAAAAGTTGGTCATTTTAGGGTAAAACTGTATCGACCATAAGCACAAGACAGCACAGTTTATTTTGGGACTTAGTTTTGGGGTGCCCATGCTTGGTCTTTACAAGGCAAATGGGAATGATGATCCATCACTGTACATGGCACTTTACAAGTAGAAGACCACCACCATGTAAACTCTAGTTCCCTGGCTTATAATCTAAGTAAAATTTGACACAAAATGAAAAGGGGATGGTAGTGTGGGAGAGGATTAAGTCCTCCAGATACTTCTCCTTGGACTTCTGTGGCCGTCGGATGGGAGGGGAGGGCCTAGGCATGGTGGAGCTGTTGTCAACATTGTACGTAAACCTCTTCTAACTATATGAATTGTGTATTTCAAAAAGATAATTTTGTTAACCTCAAGATTTCCTCATATGGATTCTCAGCCTGTGCTGGGAATTCCTAAACTTCTTTTTTCTAGAATGGAATGATTTGTCCTCTGCAAATGCTACCTCATATTGCTTCCTTCTTTGGGATTTTTCAAATGCAAAATGGTGTAGAAAAATATTAAAATAAAGAAATAATTATGTTGCGGTTGTTATAGAATAGCTACAGTTATGAACATATCTGAGTTCCAGTCTTCCTCTGGCTATTATACTCAATTGCATCTCAGTACTATGGTCTCACCAATTTTTATTATGTTATGGGAAGTGCGTGGTATGTGGATATTTTTCCTCCACCTGAACATTGATGAAGCAGTGCAGCGTGCTTTACCTTGGCTACAAGATAGATGAGTTTTGAAATCCTTGTTAACATCATTGGAAAAGATTAGTTTGTATTAGTTACCTTGTTTCACACTTTTTGTGGTTGATGCTGAAAAAAGATATGAAAGTTGGGAACTGACTGTGAGAGTGAATTTTTCTCTGTTACTAACCTACTGACACAGTTCTCATAACTATAAGTGTCACACAAAAATACTTTTATTTTCTTTGCTTCTGCAATACATAATGTTTGGCAGTTCATTTTCCATTTGCTGGGTGTGGGATTACAAGGGCCCAGAGGTCCATGTAGCCAACTATGGGATTGAATTATCTGGGTAGAATTAGTTATTTAGGGGTCCGTTTCTCTCATTGGCTCTGCGGGGATGCTGGACCACTTCAACAATTGGTCTGGAATGTTTCCCTGCTATATACCATATGCAGCATCATTTATGATCAGTAAAACTTGTCTTATAGCAGTAATGTAGGCCACTGTTAAGCATCAAATGAACTCACGGGCCTTAAACGGCATCCACTTCCACAAGAGAATATGCATGAGTATTAAATTGCTTCAAATGGATTAGCATGAGGAATGGATGCCCACGACAGATATAGTCTCGTGTATCTGGGAGAATAACAGAGTATAGTGTCACCCCTGGTGTCAAGGATTAATCTACTAAGGCAGCAGGAATTGTTATCTTGCCATCTTTTAGGAAGTTACCTTGCTATCTACATTTATAGCAGGTCATGTTTTCAAAACTGACTTTCAGATCTTAAGGCAAAACTGACTTCACTCAGCTCCCGAGATAATTGGCTACAACCTCTTAACCACAAATGGGCATTCAACTAATATCCCAAATACTTGAAAATAGTTTTTATATATAAGTTTTTGGGAGTGATTGCTGAATGGATCATCAGTATTACTATCAAAACATAACCCATGGATGGCCTGATTTCAACCTTGTCCTCCAAAGACCCACAGAAGCTTATTTCAGTGGCAGCTGTTGTACAAATCCTAGGGTCTTTATCAGAAGATCATATTCAAACCAGATACTGTGCTGAAGTTTTGTAAACATTATTCTCGACTGCTGTGAACATCCCCAATACTTCGTGTTGTCTGGATTCAGTGTTCAAAAGGACCATTCTCTCAGCAGCATGTTTCGCTAAGGCTGTTCCATTCTTCTGTATGACAGTGGAATGATGCATGGTGCTTTATCCACAGTTTATAGCTTGCATACTTGGAATTATGGGCACATCTATGACTTGAGGCCACCTCTTTATTGGTAGTACAAAAGTTTCCGGACACGTGTGTTTGCATTGTTATTGGGATGATTATGAGTACAATGAGATGGATTGATAGATTAGGGTGGAGAAAGTTCAGACTGCATCCAGCTCCTGGGTCTTCCAAGACATCTCCAAAGACCCTTCCCTGGCAAAATGTATTTTAAAACACAAAATACCTTGGGGTGATTTTTTCACTCTAAATTGCCTACTTAGAACTTTTAGAAAATGTGGAAGTTCTGTTCCTCTATTACCCAGTACTGTAGTAAAGGCTTTAAAAACATTGAAACGACGTCATTGTTTAGTTCCATCCGGCAAGCTCTGTAAATGTAATCCATCTGCTGTTCATCTCTGCCTCAGAATACACAAGGAGAAAGCTCTGTTCCGTATCAGAGTCTTTGAAATGCAGGTAGACATTCCATAAACAAATCCGTTTAATCAATACATGGTTTATTTGCTCCTTTCTGTCTTGGAAAAGGGCCTAAGAAGGTAGAGACATGTTGGAGAATAAAAAATAAAACCAACATATTTTATTTTCTTTCTTTTTTAAAATGTTTTCTTCTTATTATTAAACATTACTTGCACATATTATAATTAATATATTCTACATTACCACGTCTATCCAAACAAAGCCCTCCCAAGTAACCCCCAACAATTTAAAATACGACTTCCCTTCCCACCTAACTGAAGACTTAAGTGCAAGCCTGCCTTCCTGTTTAATGATATAATGTATTATCCTAATAGCCAATAGCCATTTATAGGGAATCTAACATACAAATGGAAAACCAGCACATTTTCTGAAGTATTTGTGGTGATATAATGGGAATTGAAAGGTGCCTCTTAGTTTTTGCTTTATAATAGGGAAAACATTTTTCCAGTTCCTTTAATAACTCTTAAGTGCCAAATAAAACACTTACGGAAAAGGGAAGAAATACAATAAAGTTATTTAAAGAAAGCCAAGCACACATATATATACACACATACATTTTTTTCCATCCACCCATTCTAAAGAAATACATTAGAATGACAGAGAAAGACCAAAAAGGGGAAAACACATTTTGGCTAGGGCTTGTAATATGAGTATGTTTTCGCAAATGACTACAGTGCATTGAAATTATTTCCATTTGTTAACAGCCAAACTGTAGCACTATTTCATTTAGCTGCGACATTATGTAGTTGCTGTTGGGATATGTTTAGTCTGGGGAAGATTAGACGTCAAGTTCTGAAGCCAGCACAGTGGTTTCACTCATTTTGACCTCTGCTCCTGGATATTTTGTGTTGAGTCCATCTGTTGGCTGTTGTTGATCTGCCTTTGCTCCAGATGTTTATGTGTGTTTGAGGCTGAGCTGTGATAATACGCCCTGCCCTTGTTGGCGGGGGGGAGAAAAAGAGAGAGAGCTGGTGATCTCACTCTGATTCTTCCAACAAATATTTCAATAAGTGATACATGGTAATCTCGAAGAAAGCTTTTCACATAAAATTGTCATCACACTGCAATGTTGTTGTTACCATGCTTGGCTGGAAGTAAGATGCAAATATTTTGAAAGAGACAGATTGCTGTTTCTTGACATCTCTATATAAAACTTGCATGGCTTCTTTTTTTTTTCTGATCCAGTTTTAGGACTGAGGCCATGAAATAATAACTCTGAGCACTATTTTGGCATCGGGATAGTGGTGTTTTTCTTTTAAAGTAATAGTGTGGGACAATATTGCTCTGAAAGATTCAAAACCATGGCCAGCATTGTCTTAATGCAAATGATGCGGATTTTCTGGGATTTTTTTATGTGCTCTAAAATAATGTTTGGTTCAGCATGTTTGACTTAAATTTTTATTCAAAATATTTCTAATTTTATTGCCATAATGGCACAGTGGGTTAAACCACTGAGCTGCTGAGCTTGTTGACCTAAAGGTTGCAGGTTCGAAACAGGGGAGGGCGTGAGCTTCCACTGCCAGCCCCGGCTTCTGCCAACCTAGCATTTCGAAAACATGCAAATGTGAGTAGATCAAAAGGTACAGCTCTGGCAGGAAGGTAACGGCGCTCCATGCAGTCATGCTGGCCACATGACCTTGGAGATGTCTACGGACAACCCGGCTCTTCGGCTTAGAAATGGAGATGAGCACCAACCGCCAGAATCGGACACGAGTAGGCTTAATGTCAGGGGAAAACCTTTACTTTTACCTAGAGAGATTACCATATTCAAAAATCACTACACCTGAAAGAATGCCATTTTTTAAGGACAGATATCTAATAGGGGTGTGCACAACTCCAAATAACTGCTTTGTTTGTCTTAACAAAATTTGTGTGGCCTCTGTTTTGATTCCAAAGTATTTTGAAAATATTTTAAGTGGTCCATGTGGGATTTATTACAGAGTTCTGAAAATTTAGTTTCTTGTTATGTTATGTGCCCATTTGAGCCAATGGGGACAGTAATAAGACTCCTCTCTCTCAGTTTTGGGGCTATTGGTACCAAACTTGTTATAATTCTAGCCCACATTTACCACTCTTAGGTCCCTTCAAGTTTCAGAACTTTTCTCTCATCCACTGATTTTTAGGACATTTTTGAAGTTTTTATGAACAACATTTTTTAAAAAAATACATGAGATTTCCCTTCAAATTTCTCTATAATGACACAACATAACCAGAACATCCTACCTCCAAGTTTCTGAAAGATTTGCACCTTCACTGATTTTTAGGGAATTTTAAAAAATGCCCTAAATTTTTAAAAAACGAA